GAATACTCTCTATGAATGAAAATAAAAAGGCCAATCTTGAGAAAGGAGTAGGTTTTAGTTATACCTTCCCAGTACCAAATAGTCCTTTAATGATGGTATTACAGTAACATTGAACAGATGTAGAAATTTTTTAAAATGTGGGCTGGTCTCCTGACTTTTCATTTGATTTAAAATGACTGATTTACTGCTGGGAAACCTCTTTTCAAAGGAAAGCTTTGTATGAGCTTCATTAATTTCCTTGCACTACAGCCACAAGGAAGGTAGGCTCACCTAGTATTGCCAGCCCATCCTGCATGACTTAGATACATTTAAATCCAAAAGCACGTTTGTCACATGGCTCGTTGGGACTCGACGGCGCTAGAATTGAGTGAGCTCCATATTAGAAAGCTTTGAGAGAACACGGCATCATTATCCCACCCACCCCCAGTCTACTCTTTTGCCAGAAATATACCTAAACTCAAGGTACAATCCAGAACCAGGAACCATGCCAATTTCAGAGTAAGAAAGATACAGTACTATGTTTTCTGTGATTCCTAAACTCAAGTGTGCAGACGAATCACTTGATAATTATTTTGACCTGCAGAGATTTAGATTCTACCTCAGAGATTCTGGACCCTCAAGATTTTTTTTTTTTTTTTTTTTTTTTGGGAGAGATTTTCGCTATAGGGCGCGTGTACTCGCCAGACAGACAGAGAGACAGAAAGTGAGAAATCACCCCCCAGGGGGGATGGTCATGCCACAATCCCTTCTCCTCCATTCTCCTCTCGGGATCTTGGGCACGCACGCACACGCGCCCGGCTTGAGTTTTAAGCCACCGGGTCAGGGACGCGAACGGTGGTTGACTACGTGGGAATCCAGCGACATAGCCATTACGCTAACTGCTGGTTCCCAACCCTCAAGATCTTTGAACACTATCTAAGTCAGTGGTTTTCAAACCAGGTTGCTCTTGGTGTCTCTCTCTTCCTTCCTTCCTTCCTTCCTTCCTTCCTTCTTTCCTTCCTTTTCTTTTCTTTTCTTTTCTTTTTTCTTTCTTTCTTTCTTTCTTTCTTTTTCTTTCTTTCTTTCTTTCTTTCTTTCTTTCTTTCTTTCTTTCTTTCTTTCTTTCTTTCTTTCTTTCTTTCTCTCTC